TATATTTTATTGATTTTGTACAGAGAGGAAGGGAGAGGGATAGAGAGTTAGAAACATCGATGAGAGAGAGTCATCGATCAGCTGCCTCTTGCACATCCCCTACTGGGGATGTGCCCGCAGCCAAGGTTCATGCCCTTGACCGGAATCGAACCCAGGACCCTTCAGTCCCCAAGCCGACGCTCTATCCATTGAGCCAAACCGGTCCCGGCTTAATTTCTTTCTTTCTTTCTTTCTTTCTTTCTTTCTTTCTTTCTTTCTTTCTTTCTTTCTTTCTTTCTTTCTTTCTTTCTTTTTTCTCTTCCTCTTCTTCTTATTTTTTTTTAAATGATACTGACATTTTGGCTTTTTCATTCAACTCTGTGACGGTGTAAACAACCAGGACAATTTTGCCCTCCTGGGAACATTTAATATTTTTGGAGACATTTTTAGTTGTTAAAACTAGAAGGCATGGAGATGGATGATAGTGTTGGTTACACAACAATGTGAATGTACTCAATGCTACTGAAATATACAAATAGTTAAAATAGTTAATTTAACAAATAGTTAAAATGGTAAATTTTATGTTATGTATATTTTACCACACTGAACAAAGAAAACTAGGAGAGGGGAATTATATATAGTGGAGCCCTAATTGGTTTTGTCGACCTACAGACTAAAGGGTTCAGTTCTGGTCAAGGGCACATACCTTGGTTGCAGGCTCCTCCCTGGCCCCACCCCTGGTCAGGGCACCTGCAAGAGGCAACCAATCCATGTTTTTCTCTCACATCGATGTTTCTATCTGTGTTCCCTCTCTCTTCCGCACTCCCTAAAAAAATCAACAAAAAAATATCCTCAGATGAGGATTAACAAGATAAATTAATAAATAAAATAATAGCATATAGTGGATACAGGCCAGGAATACTGCTAAACACATTACTGTAAACTCCTACAACAAAAGATTATCCAACCCAAAAGGTCAATAATGGCAAAATTGAGAAATCTTGGTGTAAATCATTAGCACAATCTTTAGCTGAAGGATATTAAATGTGTATATCTACTGAGCAAACCAGAAAATTCTAAGGAAATGTAATATGGTTAGTGAAGAGTGATATATGCACAAAGTTCCTGCATTGAGTGTCTTCCCCCTGGTGGTCAGTGCACATCATAGGAACTAGTCGTTCTTGTTCTGCTGAAAGGTTTCCTAGGCTTTTATTATATAGACTAGAGGCCTGATGCACAAAATTTGTGCAAGAGTAGGCCTTCCTTTCCGGATTGCTGGCACCCTCTTCCTTCTGGAATCTGTGAGCCAGGCTTCCTAATTAGCATATTATGCTTTTATTAATGTAGATATCTCCCCTATGTTTTAAAAATGATCAAAATCTATATAAAATAGTCAAAATTTTAAAGGTTATATGCCAAACTGTTAACAATGGTAGTATTAGAAACTTGCACTTTGTGTAGAGTGTTGGAATCATGTATTACCAGATATATATAGTCATTAAAATACAGCAGTGAGATTAATATCCAGTAGTTATTAAATAATTATTGGCAATAATTCATTGAGCAACAAAAGGCAAAGCTAGGAGTCCTATGAGGAAGATTTGGTTCATTATCAGAAATAACTGCCATACCCTCAAAATTCTGAGGATTTCCCCATTTAAGCTTCTGAACTAGATGTGCTGTTTTGTAGATGAAAGAAATGGAAAAGTTTTGAGGTCCCTGATATTCAAAGACAGACACTGAAAGCTTCCATCTGCTCTTAGTCATTTCCTACTGGCCTCTGACCATTAATTAGTGATTTTATATTTGACTGGAGAGGACTAGGATATCTTAAAAGGCAAGTTCAAAAATTACAACACACTAAAGCAATATTTGTTTGTTTGAAATACAATATTATTGATTTTAGAAAGGAGAGAAACATCAATGATGAGAATCATTTATTGGCTGCCTCCTGCACACCCCTCCTGGTTTACAGGTGGATGCTCAACTATGGAGCCAAGCCAGCTGGGCTAAAGCAATACTTTCCAAAGGGTAGGTTATGATCCATTAATGAGTCATCAAAACAATTTACTAGGTTATGACCAATTTTAAAAGAACAGGATAAGATATAATAGATTAAAATACAATCAAAAACTGGACTTTGGGTCTGGATAAAATTTTATTTCCTTATGTGGGTTATGGTCAACAAATGTGATGTTACTTCACATAAACTTAAACTTCATATACACTTAAAAAGTATACTTTTATACAAGGGGCCAGGGTTAGAAGAGTCTTTTTCTTCTATAAGAATCCTTTTTTGATAATTTAATATTAAAGTTCTCAATGTTTTACCTTTTGATATTTCAATTTAAATTGGCATTTTCAATTTCCTATGTATCTGAGAATTACTTTTTAATATTTAAGAATTAAACTTAGTAGACTTTAGAAGTCATAAAGTGAAGATAAGCTTGACTATTTTACGATAATTTAAATAATATAAAAATGAATTAGAGTAACGTACTATTTTAATGATGCAGTTTTAAGGAATTTCAAATGTGTACCTCTTTTAACTTCCCCTTTATGGGAGTCCTATAGACAACTTCATGCTATTTTTGCCTTAATCCGAGTCAGGGTTTAATTTATCACAATTTTGTTAATAGATTAGCATTTTGTGGTATTTTATTTTAAATATTTAACAGTGCCATCTGGTGGTTATTCTGAATGTTTTCATTTCGCGTGTGTGCATTTAAAAATGTAATTGCATGTGAATATCCAGTAGCTGGTAACAAATGTTTAACTTTTGAGGAATTGCAAAATTGTTTTCCAAAGTACTGTGCCATTTTACATCCCCATCAGCCATGTTAGACGGTTCCAATTTCTCTACATCCTGAACACTTACTTACTTTTTTTTTTTTTTTTTTTTGGGGGGGGGGGGGAATCTCATTTTGGATTTGATTTGAATTTCCCTAATAATTAATGATGTTGAGCATCTTTTAATGTACTTGCTGGCCATTGGTACGACTTCTTTGGGGAAAAGTCTGGCCAGGACCGGTTTGGCTCAGTGGATAGAGCGTCGGCCTGCGGACTAAAAGGTCCCGGGTTCGATTCCGGTCAAGGGCATGTACCTTGGTTGTGGGCACATCCCCAGTAGGGGGTGTGCAAGAGGCGGCTGATTGATGATTCTCTCTCATCGATGTTTCTAACTCTCTATCCCTCTCTCTTCCTATCTGTAAAAAAATCAATAAAATATATTTTTAAAAAAAGAGAGAAAAGTCTGCTCAGAGCCTTTGTTTATTTTTCAGTTGGGTTCATCTTTTTGTTGCTGAGTTAAGAATTCTTTATATATTCTGGATACTAGACTTTATCAGATATTTGATTTGAAAATACTTTCTCCATTCTATAGTTGCCTTTCACTTTCTTGAGTATAGTTTTTTTTGTTTTGTTTTGTTTTTTGTTTTTTAATGACAGCCCCTATGAATAATCTTTCTAAAACACTTCATATTTACAACTCCACGCACGGTGCATGAAATTTGTGCACGGGAAGGGTCCCTAGGCCTGGCAGGCGATCAGGGCTGATCTGTGGGGAGAATTGCGGGTGATGGGTGTGATGTGCCGCCACTCCCCCCACCCCCCAAGCACTCACTTTCACCGCTAGTCCCCTCCCTCTGTGGGGCAATCGATGGAATGATTGCAGGGGGAGCCCACTCACACCCACCTTGGCTGGCTTGGGGCCTGTGGGCTGGGGGCAGCTTCTGCATTGAGCATCTGCCCTCTGGTGGTCAGTGCATGATATAGTGACCAGTCATTCACCAGTTGTTCTACTGTTCGGTCAATTTGCATAGTAGGCTTTTATTATATAGGATATAGGATAGTCTAAAGTACACTTTAGACTACTCCTCATTCCTCCCGCATAGACAGATACCTTTGTCTTTTTGGCCCTGCCTGTAGCTCCAGTGAACACCAGCAAATAGCAGGAGCTAAACTAATATCAGTTTGAATAAGAAAATTCCTCCTGAGTAAACACTATATCACAGATCCTAAATTCAAATGTCTATAGGGGACTGGCAAGTGACATTCATGAGTAAATAGAGCTCTTTAGGGAGTCTCCAAGCTGGTTTCTCTAGTCCCAGAAAGAACTTCATCATCCTGTTCTACCACTTCTCAATACAAAGCAACTTCTTCATGTCTACCTAAACATATGCCAGTGTTTAGTTTATTAGGGTAGCTGAGCCATATCCAAAAGCAATATTGGATCACAGAACGAACCTTATTTCGTCACTAAGTTTGGAGATTCTCTCGCTGAGCTATCGGCTAAGAGTAAAAAAATCAAAGTTAACTGAAATCTTCGGTGTGACAATTGCAAAGAGCTCTGATCAAGAAGCTGCCCCTCACCAGTGCCATCTACAGCCCCGCGAGGTCAGACAGGCTTTAGTCCAGATTCCGTGGGAATCGAAATGCGACCCTGGGCTTCGGAACTAAAGTATCTGCGAGGAAAATCGCTCCTGAGGGCAGCCTCCGAGGTAGGGCGCGCAGCGGGACAGATGCCCAGGTTTGCGCGTGGCTGGAGTTAAGTCAAAACCGTCCCAGGGCAGAGTCAAGGTCCAAAAGCACCACTCAAACGGAGACCCCGCTGACAAAGGAACGCAGCCGATGACCTGGAATCCTCAATGGGCCGTGAAAAGGCGCACGCAGCAGGTGACGTGCCCAGTCATCCGCGCGCGGGCTGGAGACCCATTGTCACTGTAGATTCCCGCGAGGGGGCGGGGCAGAGCTGTCTCCCCTACAGCGCCTGCGCAGAGAGCCGGTTTCCACCGCCCCGGTAAGGGGAAGTAGGAACTAGCGCCGAGCGCCGGGGCGGGCCCACTGCGTGCGCAAGCGCACTCAGCAACGTCCGGCTTCCGGCTCCCTGTCCTCGCAGGCCTCGGGGCGGGGCCTGGGGCGGGGCCCGGGGCGGGACTAAATGCGGAGGAGAGGACAGCCTGTCACTGTACACTCGCTGTCGCCGCCGTAGCTGTCGCCCCCGATTCCGAACTGCGAAAGTCATGTTACCCAATACCGGGTAAGGGGATCGGGGAGCCGCGGGGAAAGGCCGGGCCGCGCGGAGTGCGCCCGAGTGGATGGCCCGCGGGGGCCGGCGGCGGCGGCGGTGGGAGGGAGGGTGTGTGGAGCTGCCCGTCGCGCTCCGGAATGCTGGATCGCGCCAGACGCAGTGCTCCTAGAATTGTGATAACTCATGAAAAGTAACCCAAAGTTGTAATCTCAGGGTGGCATCCCATGTATACACTTCTTCCGCAGGGAAAGGGCCCTGAGGGGGTTACCCCGCCGCCCGTGGGGCCGGCCCCGTCTGGGCGTGAGCCATAGCTGAAGGCACGAAAGTTCTAGGTGAAAGGTCACTGAACACTTGTGCACCCAAGGCGTTGTTCTCTTGGGCAGGACGCTCAATTCTGGAAAAATAAAATAATGGAATATCTAATTAAAAAGTGACTTTCAAGTTAGTAACTAATAAAACTAACCTTAAAGATATTTTTGACGGGATTGTTTTCGCTTTGAAATATTTTTAATTGTGGTAAAATACACAATAAAATTTACCATCTTAACCATTTTTAAGTGTATAGTTCAGTAGTAAGTATATTCAGCCCTAGCCGGTTTGGCTCAGTGGATTGATCGTCCCACCGATCGTCCCACCAATCAAGTATCCCATTTTCTATTTTAGTTAAGGGCTTGTAGTTGGGTTGCAGGTTGGAACCCCTGGCCTTGTAGGGACAATCCATCTGCTGCTTTCTCTCTGTCTCTACTCCCTTCCACTCTCTAAAAATCAATGGAAAAATATCTCGGGTGAGGATTAATAACATCATATACAAAAAGTATATTCACACGGTTGTGCAACCAATCTTTGGAACTTTTTCAACTTAGAAAACTCACTATCCGTTTAAACAACTTCCCTCCTTCCCCAGCTCCTGGCGACCCACCGTTCTGCTTTGTTCCTATAAAGTATGGGTATATTGAGCTAAGTAGCATGGGCATTATGTAATTTGCTTGAACCATGCAAACACATGGCCAAAAGATTTAAACAGCTCAAAAGTGAGTTTTTGTCATCCCTACCTAACAATTCTGTTACTCTCTGGTATTTTTCCAAAAATATTCTGAGCATTTATAAATACACTAGAGGCCTGGGGCACAGCATTTGTACACTGGAGGGGATGGTCTCTCAGTCTGGCCTGCACCCTTTCCCTGTCAGAGAACCCTCGGGGGATGTCTGCCTGAGCTGGCAGTTGGACATCCTTAGTGCTGCTGTGGAGGTGGGAGAAGCGCTCACCACCACCATTGTGCTCACCAGCCATCAGCCCAGCTTCTGGCTGGGCAGCTCCTGCTTTGAACATCTACACCCTGGTGGTCAGTGCACCTCATAGCGAATGGTCGTTCCGCTGTTCCATCGATTTGCATATTACCCTTTTATTATATAGGGTAGGATAGAATTTTATATATCACCCTAAACACACCACATTTTTAAAAATTATTAAATTTATTGGGTTGACATTGGCTAATAAGATTATAAGTTTCAAGTGTACTGTTCTATAATACATCCTTTGTAGATTGCATTGCATATGCCACTTTTAATGGTAGCAAACTCTCTTCTGTACCTATATGTCTTAGGACACACATTTTTAATACATATAATTCTTCTTTCCTTTTTTTTTTTTTTTTTTTTTTAGTATATTTTTATTGATTTTAGAGAGAGGAATGGAGGAAAGAGAGATAGAAATATCAGTGAGGAGAGGGAATCATCAATTGGTTGCCTCCTGCATGCTCCCCACTGGGGATTGAGCCCACAACCTGGGCATGTGCCCTGATTGGGAATTGAACCATGATCTGGTTTATAGGCCGATGCTCAACCACTGAGCCACACCAGCCAGACTCTTTTCTCCTTTTCGTGGGTACATAGTATTCTATTGATGTATCATAATTGATTTAACCAGATCCATCATTGGATATTATTGGATCATTTCTAGTTTTTTGTTACACCATCTTTGCTACAATGATTATCCACATATTCATCTCTTTGCACATATTTGAGTAGATCCACATGAGAAGTTCCTGGAAGTGAGGTTGCTGGATCAAAAAATATATACACTTTAAATTTTGATAGCTAATACTAACAGCCCTGTACAAAGGTTGCACGCCCAAAAGGATGAATGAGATTTCCTAATCCAACACATTGGCAAACAGCTTGATAATAAAAATTTTTGTTTTAATCATAAAAATCTAGAGGAAAAATGGAACCTCATAATAGTAAAAATTTGAATCATGAGTGAGGATGAGGGTCTTTGATATGTTTAAAGCAGTGGTCCTCAAAAGAGCACTTTTGACCCCATAGGATGTTTGAAAATATCTGGGAACATTTATTTATTTATTTGTTTGTTTGTTTATTTTAGAGAGAGAATAAGGGAGAGAAAGAAATACTGATTGGCTGCCTCCCTCACCCCCCCCTGCCCTCCTCCCAGGATTGAGCCCACAACCTGGGCATGTACCCTGATCAGGAACCAAACCAGTTACCTCCAGGTGCAAGGAGCAATACCCAACCAACTGAGCCACACCGGCCAGGGCTGGGAACATTTTTGATTGCCACAATTAAGAGGTATCTAATAGTTGGATCCCGGAAGCTGGTAAATGCCCTATAATGGGCAAGGTAGCCCCTATAATAAAGAATTATCTAGTTCAAAATAGTACAGAAATTGAGAAATTCTGGTTTAAAGCCATTTTTTTTAAATCTTTTTCTTTGCCTAGCTTACACAATAAAGTTTTTGATTGATCTCCGAGAGCTCTATTTTAAAAAAATTGTTCTATGTTATGTATCACAAATATTTTTCTCAGTTTTTAAACTTTATCTTGACTTTGATTATGTAATTTATTATATAGAATGTGTTTTTATTGTGTCATAGTTATCAGTCTTTTAAGGTGTTTATGTTTTTGTGCAAATCTATAAGGCCATCTTAAATCAAGATTTGTATTTTTATATTTTTAATCCCCACCCAAGGATATTTTTCCCATTGATCTTTAGAGCAAGAGTGGAAGGGAGGGAGGAGGTGGAGTAAGAGAGAAAGAGAGACTGGGAGATTGAGCCCATAACCCAGGCATGTGCCCTGACTGGGAATCAAACCGTGACCTCCTGGTTCATAGGTCGATGCTCAACCACTGAGCCACATCTGCCTCATGGGAATGAGTAATATTTAAAGTAGTTGTTACTTTGTGTGCAAAATCTTTTAAATTTGATGTCTCATTTGTTTATTTTTGCTTTGAAATGGAAAACAAAAACAAAAACAAAACAAAAACAAAAAAAGGTATCCTACCAACTGGGAGAAGATATTTGCAAATGATATACTTGATAAGGGGTTAATATCCAAAATATATAAAGAACTCATACAACTCAACAAACATAAAAAAAAAACAACAACAACAAAAAGTCAATTAAAAAATGAGCGGAGCAACTGAATAAATATTTCTTCAGAGAAGACATGCAAATGGAAATGCAAATCAAAACCGTAATGAAATATCACCTCACACCTGTCAGAGTGGCTATTATCCAAAGAGCAACATATATTGCCGGGACCGGTTTGGCTCAATGGATAGAGCGTCGGCTTGGGGACTGAAGGGTCCCGGGTTCGATTCCGGTCAAGGGCATGTACCTTGGTTGTGGGCATATCCCCAGTAGGGGGTGTGCAAGAGGCAGCTGATCAATGACTCTCTCTCATTGATGTTTCTAACTCTCTATCCCTCTCCCTTCCTCTCTGTACAAAAATCAATAAAATATATATTTAAAAAAAAAAAAAAAAAAAAAAAAAAAACAAAGAGCAACATATAATAAGTATTGGCAAACATATAGAGAAAAAAGAACCCTTGTGCACTGTTGGTGGGGTTGTAAGTTGGTGCGTTCTCTATGAAAAACAGTATGAAGGTTCCTCAAAAAATTGAAAATAGAATAACTATAGGATCCAGCAATACCACTTCTTGGTATATATTCAAAGAAAATAAAAACACTAATTTAAAAAATATATGCACCCCTGTGTATATTGCAGCATTTTTTTACAATAGGTAAGATATAGAAACACCCTAGGTGTCCATCAAAAGATAAATGAAGAAAATATACAATGGAATATTTTTCAGCCACAAAAATAACGAAATCTTGCCCTAACTGGCTTGGCTTAGTGGATAGAACGTTGGCCTGCAGACTGAAAGGTCTCAGATTCAAGGGCATATACTTGGTTGCGGCCACATCCCCAGTAGGAGGTGTGCAGAGGCAGCTGATTGATGTTTCTCTCTCATCAGTGTTCCTAACTTTCTATCCCTTTCCCTTCCTCTCTGTAAAAAAATAAATAAAATATGTATTTTTAAAAATAATGAAATCTTAACATTTGTGATAGCGTGGCTGGGCCCAAGGAGTATTATGCTAAGTGTGCTAAGTGCAGTAACCCAGAGAAAGAAAAATAATGCTTGATTTAATTTATATGTGGAATCCAAGAAACAAACACAACAAAAAAGAAACAGACTTATAGACACACAGAACAAACTGAGGTTGCCAGAAAGGAGGAATATAGGGGAACAGGCAAGAAGATGAAGGGGATTAAGAAGTACAAACTTGTAAGTAAATCATAGGGATATAATGTACAGCATAGGGGATGTAGTCAATAATATCATTACTTTATTTTTTTTTAATATATTTTTTATTGATTTTTCTTACAGAGAGGAAAGGAGAGAGATAGAGAGCTAGAAATGTCGATGAGAGAAACATCGATCAGTTGCCTCTTACACACCCCCTACCGGGGATATGCCTGCAACCAATGTACATGCCCTTGATCGGAATCGAACCTGGGACCTTTCAGTCTGCAGACCAATGCTCTACCGCTGAGCCAAACCGATTTTGGCTAATATCATTACTTTATATGATGACAGATGGTTATCATGGTCATCAGACTTACCATGGTCATCCTATCTAATAAAGAGGGAATATACTAATCACTGTCACGCCCTCACAAAGATGGTGGTGCCCAGAGCCAATAAGGAGGGAATATGCTAATTGACTGTCACGCCCTCAAAGATGGCAGTGCCTCCAGCCACAAGATGGTGGCACCCAGTCCGCTCTGCCCTGCCAGGGCAGCAGGCACACGGCACAGCTGGGCCTGCCACCAGGAATGCCCAACTGCTCTGCGTGCCTGCCTCCAGTCCCCTCTGCACCTCAGCTGCCCAGGGCTGGCTCGAGGTACAGGCAAGCCTCGGATATTAGCTGCCCAGCTTCACAGGGCCACTCAAGGCTCAAGTAACCAGGGCTGGCTGAGGCTTGCGCTTCTGGCAGTGGCAGCAGCAGAGGTGTGATGCGGGCGTTGCCTTCCCTTGATTGCTGAGTCACCTTCTACCCCCGAGGTCTCCCAGACTGTGAGAGGGGGCAGGCCGGGCTGAGGGACCCTCCCCTCCAGTGCATGAATGTTCATGCACTGGGCCTCTAGTAAGCTATATGTCAAATCATTACATTGTACACCTGAAACTAATATAATATTGTATGTCAACTGTTCTTTTAAAATGTAAAAAATAAAATAGTTGTTACTATTTTAATAGGTGGGGGAGGAAGGAGGAGTATAGAGTTAGGAATAGACAGGCAGATTCTGGGGTATTAGTAATGTTCTGTTTTTGCTTCTTGGTATTCATTTTATTTTGTTCTTTAAACTGTATACTTTGGTTTATATGCTTTTTTGTATGTTTATATACTTCACTAAAAATAGTTGCCACCTCTCTGTTTCTTCCTCACTGCTCCACTCCCCTTCTTGGTTAAACCCTTCTCACAATATCTCTGATCACTCCTCCAGATCTTGGCAAGAGTCTTATGTTCTTTTGTTAACATGCCTGCTTATATATTACTCCTGTCTCTGGTTACTGTCCCTTTTCTCTTTGTCATTGTTGTCACTTTTGCTGTCCTCTCTTAATTTTTCTTAAAAATCCTTTATTTGCCTTTAGAAAGTAAACAAGAAAGTGGGTTTCCTTCCCTATTACCTGACTTTATTTTTGATATTTTCTTCTCACCTAACAACTGAATAAGTACAATGTTTAAAGTTAAGGTGGATGAATATAAAAAGGGAATAGGCTCAGATAACTTTCCTCAGTACATTTGGATTAGAGAGTCTTTTGATCAATACTTGAGCTCTTCGCCAGTTTTCTAAGTTTGTATGTTTAACAGCTTTATTGAGATGTAATTCACATACCACACAATTCACTCACTTAAAGTATACAATTCAGCCAGCCAGCGTGACTCAGTGGTTGACCATTGACTCATGAACCAGGAGGTCATGATTTGATTCCTGGTCAGGGCACATGCCAGGGTTGCTGGCTTGATCCCCAGTGTGGGGCATGCAGGAGGCAGTCAATCGATGATTCTCTCTCATCGTTGCTGTTTCTCTCCTCTTCCTTTCTCTCTGAAATCAATAAAAATATATTTTTTAAAATATACAATTTGGTGACTTTTAGTATATTCACCAAGTTGTGTAGCCATCACCATAATCAATTTTAAAATATTTTTATCACCCCTAAAAGAAAACCCACTCCTCTCAGCTATCAATCTCCAATTTCCCCACCCCCAGCTCTAGGCCACCAGTAATTTTCGTTTCTCTGTAGATTTGTCAATTCTGGATATCCTATATAATAAAAGGCTAATATGCAAATCGACCAAATGGTAAGATGACCAGTTGCTATAAGACACACTGACCACCAGGGGGAAGATGCTCAATGCAGGAGCTTTCTCCTGGTGGTCAGTGTGCTCCCACAAGGGGAGCACCTCTCAATAAAAAGCTGCCAGCCAGCTCATAGCTAGCAAGTGCAGCATTGGTGGTGGGAGCACTAAGGATGAGTGAGGGAGCGGGCTTAAGCCATCAGTCAGTCATCACCCAAGGGCTCCTGGACTGCGAGAGGGCACAAGGCAGGCTGAGGCCACCCCTTTACCCCCTGAATGCACAATTTTGTTCACTGGGCCTTTAGTGTCATATAAATGGAATCACCCAACACATGGTTCTTCATAACTGGGTTTTTTTTCAGTTAGCATAATATTTTCAAGCTTCTTTCATGTTGCAGCTTGGATCAGTACATCATTCATTTCTATTGCTGAATATATTCTACTGTATGGATATACCATATTTTATTTACCCATTCATTTGTTGATGGACATTTATAGTGTTCCCATTCTGGCTAGTATGAACAAAGATGGTCATCCATTGAACAATTATTTGCTTTTAGGTCATTTCTTTTAAGTGGTATGTAGACAACATGAAAAATCCCAAAGAATATAAAGAACATAATAAAATTTATTCATAACCCCACCACTCATTTATAAGCTTTGTTAACACTTCTTTGTGGGAGAAAAATACATATTTATGTAGTTTATTAACTCCTTGTTTCTCTTTAAAACTTATTTTTCACTTGAGCAGATTTTGCCAAAGCACTGCAAGATTGGCCAACTGAAGTTGTAATAAATAATTTATAAATTGTTGTGCAATGTGAGTACAGTAGAGTTATTAGCTAATCATGGGGAGGGAGGAGGGTTTAGAAAAAGTTTCACAGAGGAGAAAACATTACAAGTACATAGATAGATAGATAGATAGATAGATAGATAATTAGATAGATAGATATAGATATACATACGTTCTTCATACTGGTAAGTAAATACAGCATTGAGGTTTCTAATAAAGTCACATTTGTTATGTTGTAGGAAATTGGCAGGATGTACAGTTTTTATCACAGGAGCAAGCCGTGGTATTGGCAAAGCTATTGCATTGAAAGCAGCAAAGGATGGAGCAAATATTGTCATTGCTGCGAAGACCACTCAAGCACACCCCAAACTCCCAGGCACAATCTATACTGCTGCTGAAGAAAGTGAGTGTGACAGTGCCATTTCATATTCTCATCATGGTTGCGATATGTAGATAACTTACTGGAGCGTTTAATTATAGCTCTTTGAAAGCTACCCTAAAAATAAGTTTATCTGCTTAAAAGTATTTTGTCACCTTAGAGCAGTGATTGGGATCTGTTTTTTCTCCTCTAACACTTGGAGTGATATGAGAGACTCCCATTAAAAATTGTAACTCGCCGAAACTGGTTTGGCTCAGTGGATAGGGCGTCGGCCTGCGGACTGAGGGGTCCCGGGTTCGATTCAGGTCAAGGGCATGTACCTTGGTTGCGGGCATATCCCCATTAGGGGGTGTGCAGGGCAGCTGATCGGTGATTCTCTCTCATCAATGTTTCTAACTCTCTATCCCTCTCTCTTCCTCTCTGTAAAAAATCAATAAAATATATATATTTTAAAAATTGTGTCTCATGAGGGCAGTTGTTCTTGGATCTGAGTGGAGAATGGGAGAGTGGAAACAGAATTTGAGAGGTGGATGAAGTGAACACTTTGAAAAAGCTTTCCATGTTATTTATTTTCTGCACCATTTTCAGGTCATTATTTTAACACTTTCAGTCCACAAATAATTACTAAGTGCTTATATTCAAGGCATTGTGCCAGGCACAGTGCCAGGAGGAAGAGCTTAAAAATTCAACTTCACCTGAGGTTGTTGGTTTTGTTAGTTATTTTAATAGCACTGTGGTTATGTTAAGAGAATACGTATCAAATACTGATGAATGAAGTGATAGCTGGGATTTGTTTTAAAATATATAATACCAGCAGCCCTAGCTAGTTTGGCTCATTGCATAAAGTGTTGGCCAATGGACCTGAAAGATCCCGGTTTTAAACAAAGTCAAGGGCACGTACCTCAGCTACAGGCTTCTCCCCAGCCTAGGCCCTCGTCAGGGCATGTGCAGAAGGCAATCAATTGATGTATTTCTCTCACATAGATGTTTCTCTATGTCTTTCCCTCTCTCTCCCACCCTCCCTAAAAATCAATGGAAAAATACCTTCGAGTGAGGAGAAAAAAAAAAATACACCAGCAAAAAACAAAATGAGGTTGGATGTAGATAAATTGTACTGGCTAAATATTAACAATCATTGAAGACTAGAGACCCAATGCAAGGGTTCATGCACTGGTGGGGTCCCTCTGCCTGGCCTGTGGGGATCAGGCTGAAACTGGCTCTCTGGCATCCCCAAAGGGTCCCGGATTGCGAGAGGACAGTGTTTGGGTGACGCACTCTGGAATGGGGCTCCCTCCTCTCTGGTTCCAGGTGTATCACCTGAGAACCACAGCTGCCAAGTTCCCGCAGCTCAGCAGTTCCTGCATTGAGGGTCTGCCCCTTGGTGGTCAGTGCATGTCATAGCTACTGGTTGGATGGTTGAATGGTCACTTAGGCTTTTATATATAAAAAGATAGGTGATAGATTCATGGTAGTTTGTTATACTGTTCTTTATATTTTTTGAAAATTTTCATAATGGTGTTTTGTTTTGTTTTTTTAAAATCCTCACTCAAGGATATTTTCTCCATTGATCCCTATAGAGAGAGTGAAAGGGAGGGAGAGAAAGAGAAACATTGTGAGAGACACATCGACTGGTTGCCTCCCGCATGAGCCCCTCCCAGAGATGGGGATCAAACACACAGCTGAGGTACATGCCCTTGGTGCCCTTCATTAGGAATTGAGCCCACGGCCATTTAGTCCTAAGGCTGATGATTATCAACCATTGAGCCAAACTGGCCAGGGCTCATAATAGTTTTTTAAGATTACCTTCCTTTTTTGGCTTTTTAATAGAATTTTAAAATTCCTCTTTGTTTTTTAGTGGAACTAGTCTATCTAGTTTGAGGCAGGATATGGGCTGGACAATCTGTCCTATTGTAGTGGTTATAAGACATAGTTATTTATATTGATTTTCTGAAAATGGGGTTCTTATTTCTTTTGACTCATATCAGAATGAAAGGTTTAATATTTACATGCTTTATAATGCTCTTTTTTTTTTTTATTCTTCATAGTTGAAGCCGCTGGAGGAAAGGCCTTGCCATGTATTGTTGATGTGAGAGATGAACAGCAAATCAGTAATGCAGTAGAGAAAGCAGTTGAGAAATTTGGAGGTAGTGCCGTAATTCTGAAATAATTACTGAATTTTGATAAAATATAGGTGTAACTATAACTTTAAAAATTTTTGAGTCTTTGGAGTATAACCAAAAATGAGTATTGTTCATATAAAAATGTAGCTTAAAACCTAATGAGGGTTGTTGTTGTTTTTTATTTGGCAAGAATTATTTTGAATACTATAACACATTTACCATCCAGTATAAGGTTAGGATCTTGACAATAACATACATCTAACCAAAAGTAATTCCTTAGATCCCATTCCACTTTCTTGCCTCTCTTCAATTACTATAACCATATATTACATATGCAGTGGTTAGGGATGGAAGACTGGCTATAAGGTACAGCAATAATCATTATTCGAGATTCATTTTATTTTAGAAATGAGTTACCAAAGCACACTTGATCTTTGATGATTTGCCTGGAATCGAAACTCTGGTCCCAGTCCCCAAGACCAGAAAGAGCCTTAGAAGGGAGGGAGATCTGTGTGCTTGGAAGGAGGACAGCCTTTGGAAAGATGCTAGAGAAGAGGGAAAATTTTAAAGAAGTTAATCTTAAATTCCTGGAGACAAGGAGGGATGACCAGGACATAAGAGAACAGATACAAATGGAAGCTACAAACCACCAAGGACTAAGCCTCCTTGTAGTTTCACGTGGACCTCTGGTGATGGTCTGTCTCCATTGTGCTAGTGAAAATTATTTGGGTATTTTGACACAGCTACTTAGTTGTATATTGGTGTATTGATTAGTTAATTTATCTAGAAGAAGTATTTGTGAACCAACTTAGGTTCAACTACACAGAGTAAATGTTTTTATTTATTTTTTATTAAGTTTAAGTTACATTAATAGGAAGTTCATTATTTGAAAACAGGAATTGATGTCTTGGTGAATAATGCCAGTGCTATTAGCTTGACCAACACATTGGAAACACCTACGAAGAGGGTGGATTTGATGATGAGTGTCAACACCAGAGGCACCTACCTTACGTAAGTTAAAGAATTGTCGGGGAGACCCCTAGCCGATTTGGCTCAGTGGATAGAGCGTCAGCCTGTGGACTGAAGGGTTCTGGGTTCAATTCTAGTCAGGGCACATGCCCAAGTTATGGGCTGGATCCCTAGTGTGGGGATGCAGGAGGCAGCCAATTGATTATTCTCTTTCATCATTGATGTTTCTATTTCTCTCTCCCTCTCCCTTTCTCTCTGAAAGCAATAAAAATATATTTTTTAAAAACTTACCCTACTGTAGAAATGTTCCATAGATGTGCAGAAATTGTTTGTTCATTGTATTGCTCACTAAATACAAAGATACAAAAAGTGTCTTGCTGAAAAGTAAAAAATGGACTATGTTATGAAGTCTAAGGACTAAATACACCTCCATGATTTGAAACAGATAGATCAGTGCTTTACTCATGTTGAATACAAACGTGATCATCTACTGTATGGCAAGATTGTGTGCCCAGTGTATTGTTGAGAAAATTGACTCTCTTTGCCACATAAGAGAGAATTCTCAGTTCAGTTCCCAAAGAATGGGTCAAAGGCTTGGCTTTTATAGGTGATATTATGGTTTATGTAAACACAAATGCATGGTTCTCATTGTTCATTCCTTGTGAAATTATGTCTTTGGAAACCCATTTGGCAAGAACAATTTGGACCCTTCTCTATTCTGAGGTTATTTTCTAAAAATGAAAATGATGGCCTAACCTATATTCCTTTGAATGCGAAATATGGTCTTATACCTGGATTAGATTTAGTTTGTTTCATATTGATGTTTTAAGGTGCAGTTCACTGTTTTAATCACTATCAGCTATAATATTGGTTGCCCCTCCCCACCTCACCCCCAGAAAAGTGAAGCACCTTTGGGAAGGAATAATATATATAAAAATCCTTTAGTGATATTGATTGTAATTGGTTTATAAACTTGAAAAGACATTGCTGATGGTTCCAAGAATCTATAATAATAAAAGCATAATATGCTAATTAGACTAGACAGCCAAACAACCTTCCGGACGAAGCAAGGGCTGCCAGGGCGGAGCCCCTTGCATGAATTTTGTGCATCAGTCCTCTAGTATTGTATTAAGAAAACTGACTCGAAAGAAGAGTGGACAAGTTCAAAGTTCTAAAAGTTATTGAATGTGAAACAAAATGAAAAGCTATAAAATTATTAAGCTACAATATTTAACATGGTATAGCTTAATGATGAAAAAGTTTTAAATATTGTGCTTGAGTCTCCTGAAAATAAATTGCCTACCTTTGTAAACAGTATTTAAAAAAACCAAAAACTTAATATCACTCCCAAAGGCATATTGCATTGCATACTGGTGCAACTTAACTTTGGAAATGTATTGGGAGTTATGTTATTAAATTACAATTTCAGCATAGTAGGAATATCACATCTACTAAAGATGAAACAAGTCAACCTATATAATAGTAATGATAGCAGTAGTTTATTTCATGGGTTTAGCATATGTACTGTTTTAAATATCTCATATATATATTTCATTTCAATCCCTTGGTCAACCCTAGATGGTAGCAGGGATTACCAACATTTACCATTGAGAACACTGAGAAGTAGAATGCTATATATTTTCCCCAGGATCACACAAGGAAGGGGCAGAAGGAGGATTTGAACCAAGGTGTGTCTGACTGGAATACCTATGTTCTTTGCACAGTACAAGTTGTGCTGGCTGACAATTACATTAAGTGTTACTGAAAAGTGTGTGTGTGTGTATGTGTGTGTGTGTGTGTGTGTGTGTGTGTGTGTGTGTGTGTGTGTATGTTGGGGAGGGAGAAGTGTGTGTTGGGGAGGGAGAATTTTAAAGGATGTAGTTAAGGATAACCACAGTTGGATTAAAGGCTAATGTGCCCAAGGATTTTTATTATCATCATCAAGTATTATCATTTTGTCAGGCCATTAAGCAAAGTTTCAAGGTTGAAAAATTAGTTGTTTTTCCCATGTTCATTCTAGAAGAGTAAAAAATAAACAACAAAAGTACTCTATAGCCCTAACCGGTTTGGCTCAGTGGATAGAGCGTCAGCCTGCGGACTAAAGGGTCCCAGGTTTGATTCTGGTCAAGGGCATGTACCTTGGTTGCAGGCACATCCCCAGTAGGAGGTGTGCAGGAGGCAGCAGATTGATGTTTTTCTCTTATCGATGTTTCTAGTTCTTTCACTCTCCCTTCCTTTCTGTAAAAAATAAATTATATATGTATATTAAAAAGTACTCTATGGATTACTGAACAAATTCAGTTTCTCTGTAGAAGTAGATTAAAATAAAACTTTTAAAAGTGGGATAATTGCCGAAACCGGTTTGGTAGAGCGTCGGTCTGCAGACTGAAAGGTCCCGGGTTCGATTCTGGTCAAGGGCATGTACATTGGCTGTGGGCACATCCCCGGTGGGGGTGTGCAGGAGGTGGCTGGTTGATGTTTCTCTCTCATCGACGTTTCTGGCTCTCTCTCTCTTTCTCTCTGTAAAAATCAATTAAAAAAAAAAGTGGGATAATTGTTAGAAAACTATTCATTTGACTTGTGTTTTCTTTCACTTTTAGGTCTAAAGCATGTATTCCTCATTTGAAAAAGAGTAAAATTGCTCATATTCTCAATCTCAGCCCACCACTGAACCTAAATCCACTGTGGTTCAAACAGCACTGTGGTAGGTGATAGGATGAGGGGATGGTTTGTTTATTTGTTTTGCATTAAATCAATGCATCTATTATGTAATCACAATTTATATATACATTCAGCATTACATTTTCTATGCAGAATCAGTAGCATTTTAGAAAGTAGATTCTTAAACTTTTGTCTGTAATTATAGAATTTAAGTATAATATATATTCATTAAAATGCACAGATCTTAATGGTTCAGTTTGATGAATTTTGACAAATGTATCCACCTGTAGAGCCAATATCTAAATCAAGATATGCATTTCCATCATCCCAGAAAGCTCCTTCAAGTCCCAATGAGTGTGTTTTATTGAATGTAACTTACCTATAACAAAAGCATAATATGCTAATTAGACCAGATGTCCTTCCAGATGACTTTCTGGACGAAGCCACTGAGGCAGGGGCTGAGGCAGAGGCAGCCGCTGCAGCAGGCGGGGGCCAAGCCCCTTTCACAAATTTCGTGCATCGGGCCTCTAGTTCTTCAATAAAGTTGGTTAAAAACTATCTATGAAATACTTTACCTTCCATAGCAAACTAATGATTCAAAGTATGTTAAATAACAAGATTTATGTGTAAGTACCTCCTTTAAAATAGTTATATCAGAGACTTAGTCCTTATTTCACAAAGCTAACTAAAAGAAGTTCTATTTTCATTGACAAGGATAATAAGTTTGTAGCCTTTAGTTCTTATTATTTTACTAGCAGTAGTTTTCCTTTAAATGATCACTTTCATTCTTTACAAAGGAAAAAAAAACAGATAAAGAAACAGTAGTGACACTCCAATAATAGTAAGGGAAATTAAAGTTTATTATTGTGTCTTTTCTTTAAGTAAAATATTAGGATGGAAATACATAAAGAAGCTCTTCCCTGTTCAGATACCTCCATAAAAACTGTTTTTTTAAAGAGTGTGTGTTTAAAAACCATGTTTTGTATTTATTATATTATTAAAGAATTCTAAAAAATGTATCAGGAAAAAATAGTAATAGAAAGAAATTAATTTATTTCTTAATTATTATTTCTTATGTTTCCTTTCAGCTTATACCATTGCTAAGTATGGTATGTCTATGTGTGTGCTTGGAATGGCAGAAGAATTTAAAGGTGAAATTGCAGTCAATGCATTATGGCCTAAAACAGGTATGTATTAAAAAATATTTTTTAATTCTCATTTATTGTTCTTTTAAAAAAATTGTTGATTGATTTCAGAGAAAGAGAAGAAGGGGGAGAGCAAAAGAATCATTGATTTGTTGCTCCACTTATTTATGCATTCATTAGTTGCTTCTTGTCTGTGCCCTGACTGGGGATTGAACCTATAACTTTGGTATATTGGGACAATGCTTTAACCAACTGAGTTACCCAGTTAGGACTCATTTATTGTTCAAGATAAGTCTTGGGTGAGCTGGGGGGGCGGGAGGGGCGCGGGTGGGGGTAGGAATGAGTAGACTGTCAAAGGTAACCTCAGTCTGTCTGTTGGGAAACAAGTTAAACTCATTATTGTACATATAAGACATTTTCCAGCTTTCACTTGGACTCTATGACTGACTCTTAAGCAGATGGCTATCCTGGAAACACTGAACACTGGAACATTTGAAGAGTTTCATTTAAAGCCAACAGGAAGCCAGCTGTGCTTCCCTAACCTTTTCTCCTTCCTCATGTTTGATACCTTACTAAATTTTGCAGATTCTCATGCTGTTGTTTTATACTATTACAACCCAACAAATATTTCTTCTGTTCCTTATATTCTTATTACCTTTGTCTTTTTCCACTATAAAAAGCTGACTTATCTGTTACTTTCACATGAATCCTGAGCTCACAGAGTGCCTAGACCCCCTTGAGGTAACAAGAACCTACATACGGTTGGATTTTGTATGCAACGTTAGAATTTATGTACGGCATTGTTTTATTTATTTCCATCACTCCACAAATACCTATTGGACCATTATCATGGGGTGAACACTGTAGGGTACTGGGATACTTTTTTGGCCTTTTCACCTAGTATCGATAGATGCCTAGGTCAGTAGAAATTAAAAGCACATTTAATTTAGTATTTTTATGAAGTACTGTAGCCTTACAGGTGCTCTTGAACTGAACTGCCACATATGGCAGTGTGAAATATACCCAGAATTCTAGTTTAGGAACAGATGAAGGATTTCTTTTCATCTTTGCTTCCCATCTGCTGTGCAGTGGGTGAAAGGATTTTCTCAATTCCAACCAGTTGGGAGAGGTCTAATGGTCCACAGTGTTGAAGCTGAGGAAACAAGGTGCTATGGGTAAGAATTTATGGAACACGGGCATGTTGCTGATGTAACTTAGGAAAATAGTTTTCGCAGCCAGCTCTCTAGTCGCCTTCTCTATTCTAAGGACTCAAAGAATCAACTTAAAAATTGCTTTCTTCTGTAATTTGACCAAGATTTCTTTACTTACTAGCCCATTGTGGGATCAGAATCATGTTTTATTGTTTCTTTGTATCTTTTACGTTTCTGTGTCAGACACAGTTCTTTTAAAATTTTCTGGAAAGTAATATTCTTTGCAATGGGGTAAAAGGTGAGTGTGAAAAAAGTGCTTCTACAACATTTTTCAAACTACATGTCAAGACTCATTGGTGAGTCATGAAATCTATCTAGTGAGGCATAAAATCAACTTAGTGGATTGTGAAATTGATTTAGTAAGCAGCAGCCAGAATTTTTTGTTGTTTTGTTTTATTTCTAATGGAAAAAAATAGAAAATATTAGGTAGTACTGCACATAGTAAGGATCAGTATTATTTCATAAACTTTTGTTTTCTATATAAAAGAATAAAATATATTAGTGAGTGTGTATTTGTATGTATTATATATTCTTAGTCGTTATGTCAGTAAAAAGTGTTACTTATTGTGGATCACAGTCAAAGACTTTAAAATTTACACTTTACTGTGACTCTTTTCTTCTTCCTTTTCTTCTCAATCTCCTCCCCCCACGTTAAGCATTGCTGTTACTAAAGTTAAAAGATAATGAGATTCAGGCAGTTTGTTAGAAAGGAAGGTCTCCAAGATAACAAAAGTCCCAACATAATATTTTCCCTCTTTGTACTCCTGGTATGTAACTTTCTATTCATTAATCTTCAGAACATTTTTATATTCCAGGCACAGTGCTCTGTACTATTTATTAAGTGTCATAATTTATTAAGTGTCTTCTCTGTACACGGTATTAGGAAGTATTAAGGTGAATGTGATGCAGTCCTTACCTTCAAAATCAATGCCTCTCTCTCACATCAGTGTTTCTCTCTGTCTCTTTGTCTCCCTTCCACATTCTCTAAAAATCACTGGGAAAAAATATCCTTGGGTGAGGATTAAAAAAATATATATGATTCCTAATCCTAGACTGTATAGAGTGGCTCTCTTTCTATGTCTGCAAAAGCTGAATAATCTCCCAACATGATTGCCCTGTAAGGAAAAGGAGATTTACTGCACTTAATGGAATAGATATAGTGTAACGTTTATTATCAATAATCAAAGCAGTGTCCTGGTCCACTTGTGTTTGTCCTCTCTGGCTTGGTGTGCCTTCTCTACACCAGCTACATGAGCCCTTCTGGGTCTAGATCTTTGACCACACCAAATTCAACACATTCAGAGGAGATCAGCGAGCAGGCCTCTCTTAGTTTCACAGCATGTGGCTCTCAAGCTCACCTTTAAAAATATAATTTTTTTCTTTTTATAAAATCCACTTCATAGTTTCTGCTGAAAATGAAGGGCGGGAGGAGAAGAGGTACGAGGGCTACTATTCACAATGTCTACTGCTTCTTACCTCTTGACTGGTCAGAACAACGGTGGTAGAAGAAGAAGGTCCACTTGGGATAGACTTCATGTGGGTTGGGGTGAGGAGTCTGGAAATGCAGCTACTGATCTTGGTGTTGACCACAGAGAGGAAGATAAAAGTATCACAACAGCTTCAGTCCTCTATCACCTGGACCGCATTGCGGATGGACGTGGGAGCTCAGCTCACAAGGGAGGTCAATGTGACAAGGTGGCAACTGGCTTCTCTGGTGCTAGAAACAAAAACTAGTGTTTATTTCGAAGGACCTACTTTCCAACTTGTTCTCATGGCAGTGTTTACCATATTTCATTGATACTGAGATGCCCAGGCTTTTACATTTTTACATCGTTGATATTAGAATGCTCTTACAATTGATGATATACTACAGTTTAATTGGGAGGGTTTTTTTTCCTTAGTGATACGCTTTGTAAGTCATATCTTTGGTTCATTGAACACACTGAAGGATATGTGTGTGTGTGCTTGGTAGGGGCCGGCAGGTGTTAAAGAGGTGAGATAAGCTCTTTTCCCAGAGAAGGAGACTCAAAGGCAATGCTGATGTTTTAAACCTGATATGTACTGCATACATTTATGTGAAAGGAAATCTTCCATTGATTTTAAAACTCTTGTTACTGTCTGTTTTGAGCAAGCTGTAACCAGAAGATCAATCCAAAGCTTTCCCCGTTATTTCTTTAATTAGATTCAAATTGTAGGGTCATCTTTAGGAATCTTGTGATCCAAGGTTTATCAGCTTTCATTACAAATATTGCTTATTTTCCTTTCCAGAAATCATCACTGAATGTTATGTGATGGATCTTATTGTTAACTTGTACTTACCCTGTTTCCCCGAAAATAAGATAGTGTCTTATATTAATTTTTGCTCCCAAAGATACGCTAGGTCTTATTTTCAGGGGATGTCTTATTTTTCCATGAAGAAGAATACAGTACACATTTATTGTTAAATGAAAATAAAGGAAATTTATTACCTGTATATGGTACGGTAGTACGGTAGTTGTCAACACAAACCAGACAAACTGTGATACAAAAGTATCAAGAATTTACTCATTTATTTAATGACAATCATGTCATCATCTTCTGGAACATCATCATAACAATTCAATTCCTGAATTTCCTGGTGAATTTCTTGTGACTCTATTTCTTTCAGAATCAGTGGACCAAATCTCTCATGTTTAGCCTAGGGGGGGCCTTATTTTGGGGGGATGCCTTATATTTCATTCAAAAGGAAACCTGTAAGTAGGTCTTATTTTCGGGGAAACACGGTAGTAAGTGCTTATGGTGTGCTTGTCATTGTTTTGGGCATCGGGCATACAGTGATGAAGAATAAAAACAAGGTCTCCACATTCTAGTATAGAGGAAAGAGAGACAGTAGACTTAAGAGAGGAGCTCATATTTAGAAACAACAAACTGAGGCCCAAAGGTGACAGTGGCTTGCTTAAAATAGCATAGTTGGTATAAAAATCTCACCTTACAGCTCAGTGCTCTTGCTATTATACCTTACTGGCTTCTTAACTCTTAAGAATGGTATGCAAATTCTTAAGTATTCTGAATCAGAAAAGTCTAATTGAATTTTGCTGTGAGTCTCATGAAGTTCTATACACTGAGTGGCCAGATTATTATGATCTAATATATATATATTAGAGGCCTGGTACATGAATTCATGCATGGGTGGGGTCTGCCCAGCCTGGTCAGGGGCAGGGGATATGGGCGGTTGGCCTGCCTGCCTGCTGGTCGAACTCCTGGTCGAGGGGACAATTTGCATACTAGCCTTTTATTATATAGGATATACACTGAGTAGCCAGATTATTTGCGTTCAGAGATCATAATAATCTGCCCACTCAGTGTATAAGGCAGTGTTGTGTAGAGCAAGGAATATATGTTTTCTATCCAGTTAATGCCAATAAAACATTTAGCAAATGCTTTAAACTCTCTGGACTTTATTTTCATCACCTGAGAAATTAACTGTCTTGCTGTTGCTTTCATAGTCCTACTGTTTGATTTGGAGCTATGGATGCTTATGTTTTCTCTACAGCCATACACACGGCTGCTATGGATATGCTGGGAGGATCCGGTATTGAAAGCCAATGCAGAAAAGTTGACATCATTGCAGATGCTGCGTATTCTATTTTAAAAAAGCCTAAAAGTTTTACTGGTAACTTTATTATTGATGAAAATATCTTAAAAGAAGAAGGAATAAAAGATTTTGATGTCTATGCAATTAAACCAGGTAATGCTTATTATTGTTAAACACAGTGATGCATTTTCCCACATTTTCTGCAAGGAATACACATCTCTTTTGTGTGCGTGGTTTTGTGATTATAAAATTAATATGCTCTTTTAAAAGGTGTCTTTCCAATAAAGGGAAAATCTCATGCCAACACATCTTAAAGAGGAAATGAAAAATAGAAGTGAGTTAAGGAATACACAGATGCAGAAGGTCACATTAACTATTAACCATTTCCAAATCTTGAAACCAAATATGAAAATTAGTTTTAAAGTTGGACTTAAAATCACAGAGTAAAGATTTTATTCAAGAATATGATAACAGATATAGTAGTGGTTTTTTTCACAAAAACTTTTTAAGATTATGGGCTTTTTCTAAAAGTTTATCTCTGAGGTGCAATCTCTTAGAGTAGCTTAATGGTAAATGGTGAAGGTGAGTGAGCAGAGTCGGTCCCATGTACAGGGGTGTGATGTGAAAAGTTCTCAGCACTCCCCTTGTTCACAAATCATTCTTCCTCTCTGAAATTGCAGATGATGATCGTAATGATAATGCATTTTACTTTATGTATAAAATATAACATATATTAAATAAGAAATATTTAATATACACTTAGTGGCCAGATTATTATGATCTCTGAACGCATAATTGGCCACTCAGTGTCTGTGTGTGTGTATATCCATGAAACCTTTCTGCCTACATCCAGAAAGGTTTACATATATATATATATATATATATATATACATATATATACATACATACATATATACATGCATGAATTCATACACCAAACCTCTAATATATGTGTGTGTGTCACACACACACACATAAAAATATATATTAGAGGTTTGATGCATGAATTCGTGCATGGGTGGTGTCCGGCCAGCCTGGTGGGGGGGGGGGTAGATGGGACATGGGCAGTTGGCCAGCCTGCCTGCTGGTTGAACTCCTGGTTGAGGGGACAATTTGCATATTAGCCTTTTATTATATAGGATACCACTGAGTGGTATATAGGATGATCTCTGGATGCATAATAATCTGGCCACTCAATGTATGTTATATTTAGTTTATTTGTGCTAAAGTATATTTTAAGTATTCATTAGGTTGAATGTTTATATTTGTATTAGCCCTGTTTCTTCAGTTTGAACTGAATCGCATTAAATAGCTCTTCACAATTCTGAATTGTGAAGAACTTTTATATACATTGTCTAGCTAGTCTCATGGTAATCCTGTGAAGGAAGCAATATTGTTTAGTGAGTAAGAACATGGAGTTTGGGAAAAAACAACTCAGGTTCAGATCCCAGTTCAGTTGCACTTTAGGTGAGTCACCTACTTTCTCTGAGCTTCACTTTTCTTACTGGTAAAATACTATAATGATACCTCCCACACTGAGTTTTGGTAAGAACAAAATGCAATAATATATATAATGTTCTTGGCACAGTGCTGGCATATGGTGTAATCACTGTATTCAGTAGTTAATATTTACAGTAGAAAAACAGGTCCAAAGAGATTATTAAGCCTTTGTCTAGGAGTAATAGCTAGTAAGTGGCAGAACCTGAATCAGATCCAGGTCTCTGGGGCCTGGTATAGTGTAATTATCACTTCAGGTGTTAAAGATATAGTGTCTTTATGCACAAAATTTTAAATTTGACTTAAATTAAAAACCCTATTTTAGATTTGAGGGTGTTGAGAACTTAATATGATTAGGTACTGTGGTAAGTGTTAGGATATAACAAACCTAGTGCATTTCTGCCATCCAGTTTTGTTTTGTTTTTAATCTGAGAGGGAGGAGCAGACTATAGAGACAAAGATGGGCACAAGTCCTTTTTTAATGAGGGACTCCCTTCTCTTAGGGGCCAGTGAAGGAAATGATTCCTAAGCACCTTGGAGGGATGTAGGCAGAAAGGTTTCATGGATAAATGAGAAGGGGGGAAAGGCTCCTGGGAGATCAGTTAAGGGCTTAATATGTGACTCTTCGGTTAGATCTTAGAGATGAAATTTGCCATAGGAAAGAAGGATAATTGGGTTAGGGGAAAGTATTTTAGCTTAATGGTCAGGTAGTTTAACATTCTCATGGGGGTCTTTGCATTGTACCATTTAAATAAAAACAGATGTAATGTTTATTAAACAGGTGTTAAAATCTTAATATATTGAAGTTCTTACAGTAACCTGATTATTTTGGGGTCATTTTTTCAGGCCATCCTTTGTTACCAGATTTCTTCTTAGATGAATACCCGGATACAATTACCAAGAAAATGGAATCACATGGTAAGATATAGGCTATATTTTATGTAGGAAAATAAAGACACTTATATGTTCTTTCCAAAATAGAGAATTGTACATTTTTACTTGGAGAGTAAAAATTGATGTGCTTGGCTGTTATTTCATTAGTTTGATTTATGCTTTCAGATGCCACTGAATATATTTAAGGTCACTATTTCAAACAGGTATAATTGGTAGCAAGTGTATTCTGTTAATTTTGTGTGTGGCCTTATATTGTCTAGCCTTTAAAGCCATTTTCATCAACAATATTTTGTAGGTGCTGGTACACAGTTGAAAGAAGAGCAGCAGCCACCATCAAAACCACCTTCTGGAGCTGTGAAAGAAACATTCAAAATTGTTAAGGCCTCTCTCAGTGATGACCTTGTTAAAGCCACTCAGGCAGTTTATCAGTTTGAACTCTCGGGTAAGGATTACAGCTGGTTATCTGAGTGTTTCAGGAAACAAAGGAGGCTATTTCCCTTGGACAGAAATCAGCCTCCAGGAATCACCTATCTAGTTGACGGTATGGAGGACCCTTACCCTAGAATGTAGCCATTTCAGAATAACCAACAGCTACTGATATGTATTTTAAGTTAATATCAGTGTATAGGAACATATGTAAAAATAAAATTTTGTTACAATTACTTTCACTATTAAGTAATTGAGAGGAATCCTACTTAGAAAGGCATGTGGATCAAGACAGGTGATATAATATAGTAATTTATCATCCACCGTGGGCACTTGCCATTTTTACTTTTGAGATGATTCAAGTCAGTCTGAAAGTAGTCAGCTTTTTAAAACTTCTCAATATTTTTCTTCTCAATATAGTACTAACATGTTAATGAAAGTTTTAAGAATAGCTACTTCATTCCTACTGTATGGAAGCTTCGACATTATCAGTTCTTTTATTTTTTTTTCTCTTATGTTAATTCATCTGTAATTTTCTGTTTTTACTTGCTTTTCTTTGTTTTTGTTTTTTGAAATATATTTCTATTGATTTCAGAAAGGAAGGGAGAGTGAGAGAGAGAAAAACATCAACGATGAGAGAGAATCATTGAATCACACCACCCAGAGGATCTGTACCAGTAGAAATTCATCATCGTCCCTCCTCTACTGGGGTCTAAGCTGCACCTCAGAATTCTGTGTTTCTGTGATAGCTTACTACCTCATTTTCCACAGTGACTGTTTTAAACCTCAGTGTCCCTCAAATCTTCCATCTCTCCTTCACCACTTCTCTGCCGGTTTCAGTGTATAATCCCATCTCCTCTTTTACAGAGATAATATAAGCCTACAGATAAATTGCTTCAGCTTCCTTTCATCTGATATTAAATTAACCATTATAGGCATCATCCTCTCTTCTCCTCCCAAAAGAATAGAGCTCAACTCCTGATCAGTGCATCTCAAGCTTTAAAATTCATGCTAATTACCTGGTTTCAGGCTAAAATGCAGAATTTGATTCAGTAAGCAGGTCTGAGGTAGGATCTGAATTCTGTATTTCTGATAGTTGATGACAGTATTCAGTCCATGAATCTCGCTTTGAGCAAAGATCTAGATTCCGTTTCCTCTGGCTTCCTCAGGGACTTTGTGCCATTAATTGTGCCCTCTCTTCCACCTGTTCATCCTGCAGCCTCCTTCCCAAATGTACTTTAACATTCTCAGTCTGTTCTATCATTTTAAACAAACACAATAAGTAAAACTTATTTTTATCTGCGATTCACTCTGCTGTGGTATCATTTTTCTTCATTCCCTGAACTTTTCACCAAGGTCCTTGGTGGCTTCGTGTCACCAGTGGGCATTTGTCATTCTTACCTTGTCACAGCTCTGGAGTATTTGATGGTGTTGACCACGGTTTCCTTCTGGAAATCCTCCCTTTTCTTGGCTTCTTTGACAAGAGCTTTCCTTCTCTATCTGTAATCATGCCCTCCCAGTATCCTGTGTCAGATGCTTCTCCTTTGTCCTTTAAGGATGTTCTTCAGATCACTGTCTTAGCACTCTACAGACTTTCACTAGGTAACTCCAACCACTCACAAGACTTCAATGACCATATGAACAGATTACTTATATATCTATATTCCAACCTAGTAAGACTTCATTTGACATATTCACTTGGCTAGCACAAAGATGCCTCACTTTGAAAATGTCTAAAGCAACTCACCATTCCCAATGCCAATATCCACTCTCTTTCTATCTTCTGATCTTACTAGTTTATTTATTTATTTATTTATTTATTTAAAAAAAAAATTTTTTTTTCAGTTTCTTATCTAGCTAATTCTTACTTAACTTTAAAATCTCAGTTTCAGTTGAGATTTCCTGGCTCCACATCACCACCCAATTCCTCTTTTGTAAGAACTAGCTTATGCAGAGTCTTCAAAGCCTAGCCTAGGGCCAGGTACAAAATAAATATTTGCTGAAAATGATAGAGTCCTTAGGATTTTAGCCTGGGAAACAGCAGTATATAAGATTATTGTAATTGTAATGGTTATTATGTTGAAGAAAAACAGGCTTCTTTGGCATTTATTTCTATGTTTTTACCTTCGATGTAGGTGAAGATGGTGGAACATGGTTTCTTGATCTTAAAAACAAGGGTGGAAATGCCGGATATGGAGAGCCATCTGATCAGGCAGATGTGGTGATGACTATGTCTACTGATGATTTTGTAAAAATGTTTTCAGGTGAGTTTTCAATTTCCTCAATTTATCAATAAATTTATCAATAAATCAACAAACAACAAGTACATTGTTAGTGGGATTGCAGATTGGTGCAGCCACTATGGAAAACAGTACAGAGGTTCCTAAAAAAATTAAAAATAGAACTACCTATGACTTAGCAATTTTATTTCTGAATATTTATCAGAAGAAATCCAAAACACACATTCGAAAAGATATATGCACCCCTGTGTTCATTGCGGCATTATTTACAATGATCAAGATATGAAAGCAACCTGAGTAGATAAAGAAGATATGTTACATATATATGATGGAATACTACTTGGCCAGAAGGAATGAAATTTTAACATTTGTAACAATATGGATGGAACTAGAGTATTATGCTAAGTGAAATAAGTCAGAGAAAGATAAATATTTTATTATTTCATTTATATGTGGGATCTAAAAAACAAAATAAATGAACAAACAATAGAAACCGACTCATAGATACAGAGAAAAAAACTGATGGTTGCCAGACTGGGGTGGGTGAAAAAGGTGGAAGGATTAAAAAATATAAAAAATATAAATTACAAAATAGTCATGGGGGTATAAAACACAGCATAGGGAAGATAATAATATTGTAATAACTGGTTCCAGGTGGGTGCTAGACTTATTGAGGGGACCACTTCATTCTATATAATAAAAGCCTAATAGGCTAAGTGTCTGGTCAACTGGTAGGCCATTCAACCAATCAAAGCATAATATGCTAATGATATGTTAAGGCCGCTCAACTACTCGCTATAATGTGCACTGACCACCAGGGGACAGACAGTTGACTGGTTGACCAGTTGCTATGACATGCACTGACCAACAAGGGGCAGATGCTCCAACTGGTATGTTAGCTTACTGCTGGGGTCCGTGTTCCTCCCCAGCCCCAATTGTGCACCAGTGGGGTCCCTCAGCCTGGTTTACGCCCTCTCACAATCCTGGATCCCTAAGGGGATGTTGGAGAGCTGGTTTCGGCCCAACCACACAGGCCAGGCCGAGGGACCTCACTGGTGCTTGAATTCATGCATGAGGCCTCTAATTATATAAATATCTAACTACTATGCTGTATATCTGAAACTAATATAAAATAATATTGAAGGTCAACTGTAATTTAAAAACACAAAAGAGCACATCTTGGGAAATAATTACTGTTACTTATACTGCCCCTTCTACTTGAAGCAGCAAATGGTGAGTAGATGTCAGAATTTCCTTTTTTGTGTGACTGATGAAAAGATAATGTTGAGGACAGAGAGATACTTCAAAAGGACTCCTAGGTGTCCTTTCTACTAGTTGGACTAAGATATCCTATCTAATAAAGAGGGAATATGCTAATTGACCATCACGCCCTCAAAGATGGCAGCGCCCACAGCCACAAGATGGTGATGCCCAGTCCCCTCAGCCCCGCTGGGGCGGCAGGTACATAGCTGGGTCCACCCCCAGGCGGGTCAGGACGCTCTACACGCCTACCTCCAGAGTCCCTCAGTCCTCTCAGTCCCCCAGCTGCCCAGGGATGGCCTGAGGCATAGGCAAGCCTCATATGTCATGCAAATGTCACCTCAATTTTAAAAGTGATTTTGGCCTTTTCCCCTTCTACTCCTGAGAGGTAACTTATCTTCAGGTCTTTTTGATATTCCTTTCTATATGTAACTACATTTTTCAATGTTTTCATATTTCTCAAGTTATATTTATAGTATTTATATTATTTTCTTTAGATTTACTAATCTAAAGACTGATAGGTAAGATTGAAATTCTTTTATAGCACCTTGATTCTGCTTTACCTCCCTCTTATCCTCCCAATTTAATTATTTTATAATTTTTGCTTAAATTAATACTCTTATGTTTAAGTGATGATGATTCTGGCATAGTTTGCTGCTGAGTCAAATAGTATATTATTGTTATGTTTCCCCATAAGAAAGAACTTTTATTTTTCCTGGACATAAATAATTGCCCTATTTCCCCCCCATTAAAATACTGATAAAGAAACTAAGCAGCCGAAACCGGCGTTGGTCTGCGGACTGAAAGGTCCCAGGTTTGATTCTGGTCAAGGGCATGTACATTGGTTGCGGTCACATCCCCGGTAGGGGGTGTGCAGGAGGCAGCTGGTCGATGTTTCTCTCTCATCGACATTTCTAGCTCTCTATCCCTCTCTCCTCCTCCTCTGTAAAAAATCAATAAAATATATTTAAAAAAAAAAAAGAAACTAAGCAAAATTCTCCTATACTTTTCTCACAACCTCTTGATAAAATTTCTACTCTGCCAAATGTGTCAAATTACCTGTCAGTCTGCTTTTTTTTCCTGGAACCTTTGTCTTCTTATTAAATTCTGAACAGGTAACTCATTATAATAGCCTGCTACACAGCTGTGATCCTAGAAATTTCTTTAACTCTCTCCTGCATTAAATCTCCTATTTCTGTATCCCATGCCTTCTCTCTTGGTTTGCATCCTCATTTTGGTGGCACAGATTCTCCAATAGCTTCATGAGAAAGGATACAAAAGAGTAATTTTAGTAAGTGTCTAAAACTACTTGTATTGTACCAATTCCTTATTTGGCTGGGTAGAGATTTCTGGGTTGATACAATTCTTCTTCTTAATCTTTTATTTCTACTCTCTTTCTGAAAGCTTCAGAATCAAAATGATCTCTTTCTCTGTAGTGTACTGAAATGTCACAATTATATAAGGTGGTGTAGTCTTTTTTTCTTCATTTTCCTGGGTAATTGATGGGTCTCTTGGGAATGTATCTTATGTTATTTCTTAGATAGTTCTCTTGGCTTTCTCAGTTCTCACATTTTGGAGAAAACATTAGCTCTCTGATTTAATCACCTTATTTGTAAGAGATTGGCTCACTTATTCTTCTCTTTTGTTTTGCTAATCTTCACTCGATATTTTTCCACTGGTTTTTAGGGAGAGTAAAAGAGAAAGGGAAAGACAGGGAGAAACATCGATATGAGAGAAACACATCAATTGGTTGCTTCCTTCTCTTCACTCTATCCAATTCCATTCCTCTTTTTCTTTAGCTTCTCTGTGTTCCTCTCCTTCCTCTCCCTCCCCACCCCTTTTCATCCTGTCCTTTTCTTTCTTTTTTTTTTTTTTTAAATATACCTTATTGATTCTTTACAGAGAGGAAGGGAGAGAGATAGAGAGCTAGAAACATCGATGAGAGAGAATCATTGATCAGCTGCCTCTTGCACACCCCCTACTGGGGATGTGCCCGCAACCAAGGTACATGCCCTTGACCGGAATCGAACCTGGGACCTTTCAGTCTGCAGACCAACACTCCACCACTGAGCCAAACCGGTTTCGGCCATCCTGTCATTTTCTTCTCCCTCTTTCCTATGCTTTCCTCTTCCCCCTTTCTTTTCCAGCATCCTATTCTTGCTGCACTGGTGTTATATCTTCTCTTATCAATGAGGACATGAATTATAGAATTTTATAACTTGTTTGTTATTCATTTACTTTCAGTTTTTTTCTGTGCTACATTCTCTGTTTCCTCCAAATTGCTGTTATTTATTTTTTTGTTTTTGGGTTTTTGTTGTTTGGGGTTGTTTGTTTTTTTTTGTTTTGTTTTTTTTTTTTTGTCTCCTTTTGATGTCCATTCATCTTTATGGGCAAAGCTCTATAGAGCTGATTGGAACCTCTGTGTGCATGAATAGACTGGTGGGCTTGTGGACTGGTGGCTTTCACTGTAGAATGTCAAGAGCAGGGAGTCAGTTTTGTGGCTGAAGGGTATCTGAATATTAGTGTTTGTAAATTCTTGGAGTTCTTCTGTTCCTTCAAAGAATAAAGATCTTCCAGTATCTTCCATGTGTATTAAAAATTATCCCTTAATCTATTATTTGTGAATGTAGGTATTTTAGCACCACATTTCCTTGGACTAGTGCACAGTTCAGTTTATTTATTAAAAATGAAAGAATAGACTTGATCCTTTCTATCCATAATCAATCTATAAATGCTTTGCTACAACTCCTATATAGAATAATTTAAAGGTATCTAATAACTCAATATGTATACAATATATTGACCCACACATTTTTTCTACAAGTAGCCTGTACATGGCCCAGTGAAAGTTGACCTATGCACCAGATTCATATTGTGCCCTCTAGAGATATGACCTATATATAAATTGGCATAATATAGCCCAGAAACTAAATGAGAATAAGTCACATAAGACCGTGAATTGCAGTATCATCACATATAAGCAGTGTGCCGTACAAAAAGTCCAAATCCTCTCTCAGCCTCAGTTTCCTCATGAATTTTTCTGTCAGACTCTATACTAGCACTGCAATGAGCGTCGCAAATAAAAACAAAGTTTCCTCCATTGGTGAGCTTCGATTTATTATATGTTGTTATTGGCTATAATTATGTTTTAAAGCTTGCACTTTATATCCTGGCATTTCTGTAATTAAAATCATGCTAACATACACTTATGGCCTTTCCTGTACTTTTAATGATTATTTCTTAAGAATATTATATGCATTTAGATTTTTTAAAATGTTCCAAAATAATAGATTGGAACATAAAATAGATAATATTTGTTGGCCTCAAGTCATTTGCGAGCCATGTATCCTTGAGAGTACTGTACAAGTTTATAAATGTTGCATCTTCAGCTTTTTGCTATAATCTTTTACTGATTATTGTCTTTCATTATCTCATATTATAAGATATTGTTAACATCTAACTCTATGGATTGGGATTCCATGGATACTGATTTTAAAAATGCTGTAATAGAAATTTCTGTTTCACAGACTTACAGAACTCTAGAATATTCTTTTCATAATGCATGTTCTTGAAGCAGTATTTCCTAAGAATACTAATGGATGCTTTTCCCTCTCTCAATTTCTCGTTTTAGGAAAACTGAAACCAACAATGGCCTTCATGTCAGGAAAATTGAAGATTAAAGGAAATATGGCACTAGCAATCAAATTGGAGAAGCTAATGAGTCAGATGCAAGCCAAGCTGTGAAGAAGAAAAAAACATGTCGATGTCTAAGCTCAGAAAAGTAAATGGGCTCAATAGTTAAAATCTAATGTTTGTTTTCTTCCCTATTGTATTATAAGGTATGTGTGTCCTGGAAGAAATATTAATTTCTGTATCTATAAGACTTGAAATTATAATTAAAACAGTTAGCAAAAACATAAGCTTCATTAAGTAAATTCTAAGACATTCTTTTTTTATATTTTCTAAGTTTTGCCCTCAGAACTATAAACCATTTACCATCTTCTTCTAGGAAAAGTATTATGAGCACCCAATCAAGGTCAAGTAGTAAAGTAACATTAGCTCTTTTTAAAACTTTTTCCCATGGAAAATATGGTCAGTCAGTTCTAAATTTTTTAATTGGGGGTTGTATACCAATGAAAATCTTAATGATATTTTAGATTTTTATATGCTTGCTTTAAGGAAGATAGACTATAATACATTTTCACATGAATCACATAATAAACTACTTATTTTGAAGACTAATGAAACAAAAACGGAGTTTTTCATTTTGTTACCTAACTTTCCAGGTATAAGTCATCTAGAGGAAAATATTATTAATGTAATTCAACTAATATATATTCTATTTTAAATTATGTAAAAGTGAGCTAAAATAAAATAATATCTCCCCAGCAGTATGCACTTGTTAACAGTGTTTTGAAATGAGAACATTAGAATAGATGGGTGTTACAGGCTTAAATGTCTGCCCCCCAAATTTTTATGTTGAAGAACTAATTTCTAGTATCTCAGCATATGACTTTTTTGGGATAACACCTTTAAAAGGTGATTAAATAGAAATTAGGCTTTTAGGGTGGGTCCTAAACCAATCTGACTGATGTCATTATAAGAGGGGAAATTTGGGCACAAAACAGAGACCAGGGATGCGCACAGAGAGGAAAGACCACGTGAGAACATGGCGACAAAGTGGTCATCTGCAAGTCAAGGAGAGAGGCCTCAGAAAAACCAAATCTTCTCACACCTTAATCTTAGACTTCTCCAGAATTGTAAGAAATTTTTGTTGGGTTAGCCACCCAACTGTTGTATTTTATCCAGGCAGCCCTAGGAAACTAATACAAGGGTTGGTTTGTTGTCGTCTTTTTTTTTTTGTTTTTTTAAAGCTAAACTTTAAAAAAGCCCTTACTTTCATTTTAATCAGTAAAAAGATACTTGCTGAGTGTAATACTTTTACTTTCTCATATTCAACTCTCTAATATCATTGTGCTATTAAGCAACTTAGCTAATTCTGATGTTTCATATAGAATCATAATGGTAAGGGATTTAATGTGTATTTTATAAATAAGGAAACAGCCAAAACCGATTTGGCTCAATGGCTAGAGCATCAGCCTGTGGACTGAAAGGTCCCAGGTTCGATTCTGGTCAAGGGCATGTACTTTAGTTGCAGGCACATCCCCAGTAGGGAGTGTGCAAGAGGCAGCTGATCGATGATTCTCTTTCATCGATGTTTCTGACTCTGTCCCTCTCTCTTCCTCTCTGTAAAAAAATCAATAAAATATATTTTATAAATGAGGAAACAGGATCAGAAATGGAAAGGACTGGCCCAAAATGAGGAAACAGGATCAGAAATGGAAAGGACTGGCCCAAGGCCAAAATTAACAAGCCCTGTCCAACAAAAACTTCCCAGTGCATTGGCCTTGAATAGAACTTAAAGGCTCCCCTCCCCCTCCATGAAGCCCAGATGGATTGACTTTGAGTCGTAGCCTTACAACACCATTGACATCTCCCAGCCACATGAGGATCCTGGTCATGTGATGTTGCCAACTGGCTCCTTTCCTATTGATGTTTTCTAAAGACTTCTCCCCTTTCTCTGCATTCTCCAAATGGTCTCAAAGCTTTGGGAAATAAAAATTAGAAAATATTCTTTTATAAAAGTAAAATATTGTGAGGTAAAATGTCTGGGTTCTGATCGCTGAAACACATGAACTCGGGGGAAAAAAATCTTTCCACAGGACCCTAGTTTTCACCTTAGTAATTGAAGGAATTGGATGAGGGTCATCTGTAGCCCCTTTGTGCTCATTATTAGGAAGAACTAATCAATCTGCGCTATTCTATCAGAAGTTAAGGTAGTGACACCTACATTCCTGAAGCCTTCCCTCTTGCCACATCCCTCTACTGATTTAATGAGATCATACGTATTCCCCTTATTTGGATCTGTCCATTAACTATGTTGAAGTTGTAGATCCTTCCAGAAGCTTTGAATGGCTATTTTGTGTGCTGTCCAATAGCTAATTGAGCCGTTTCTGAAACAATGGTATGGAGGGATTGCTGGCTGGTGTGGCTCAGTTGGTTGAGCATCATCCCATGAACCAAAAGGTTATTGGTTTGATTTTTGTGGGGCCCATCCCTAGTAGGGGGTGTGTAGGAGGCAGCTGATCAATGTTTCTTTCTCACATTTAATATTTCTTTCCCTCTTCCTCTCTAAAATCAATAAAAATATTTTAAATATATATTAATAACAATAATAAAGAATGGTATGGAAGGAAATCATAATTTCCCTCCATACCATTCTTTATTATTATTTAGACATTATTTTCAAGATAGTTTGTTGCTAGTAATCTTATATTTCAACAAACCCTCTTATATAATACCATGTAATCTCCTTAAAGGGTAAAAAAGTTTTTCCCCTTTACCTATTTAAGTTCTTAGACTAACAAAAGATAAAAGAAAAATATAATTTATTAACATGTGAATTACATACACACACACACACACACACACACACACACACACACACACACGTGCATCCAGACATGAGTCAAAGGGATTATTAGAACTTGAGCTTATATATCATCTTAACAAAATAAAATTTTAAAAATAAATATTTAGAGAAGTAACACAAAGAAAAAGGACTTTGAGTTTCTAATGTGGCAAATTGTGTGGAGGAAAATATATACACTGTATAGTAATAGCATGTTCAGTTTTGTAAGAAATTGCCAAACTGTCTTCCAAAGTGGATGTACCATTTTGCATTCCCACCACCAATGAATGAGTGTTCCCGTTATTCCACATCCTTGTTGGCATTTGGCATTGTCAGTGTTGTGGACTTTGGCGACCTTAACAGGTATGTAGTGGTTTCTCATTTTAATTTGTAATTTTCTAATGACATAAGATGTCAATCATCTTTTCATATGATTACTTGCCTTTCTATATTCTTTGGTGAAGTATCTGTTCAGGTATTTGGCCCATTTTTATTTTATTTTATTTTATTTTATTTTATTTTAATTTTTAAAATATATTTTAGTGATTTTGTACAGATAGGAAGGGAGAGAGATAGAGAGTTAGAAACATCGATGAGAGTCATCGATCAGCTGCCTCTTGCACACCCCCTACTGGGGATATGCCCGCAACCAACGTACATGCCCTTGACCGGAATCAAACCCTGGCCCTTAAGTCCCCAAGCCGACACTCTATCCATTGAGCCAAACCAGTTTCGGCTTGGCCCATTTTTAAAAATCAGGTTGATTTTGCTGTGTTTTAAGAATTATTTGTATATTTTGTAAAGCAAGTCTTTTGTCAGATAGATATATATATTTTTTGCAAATATTTTTCTCCTAGTCCACGACTTGTTTTCTCATTCTTTTGACATTGTCTGTTGCAGAGCAATTTTTCACTGTAATTGTGTTCAGCTTATTAATCATTTCTTTCATGTATCATGCCTTGTTTTGTATCTAAAAAGTCATTGCCATACCCAAGGTCATCTCGCTTCTATCTTATCTTATTTTGTAGGAGTTTTATAATTTTTCATTTACATTTAGATCTATGACCCATTTTGAGTAAATTAATTCTTGTGAAAGGAGTAAAGTCTTTGCTTAGATTCTTTTTTTTTTTTTAATGTAGTTACCTAGTTTTCCAGTATCATTTGTTGAAAAGACTATATCTTTGTTCCTTTTTTAAAGATCAGTTGACTATCAGTCTATTTCTGAGCTGTCTCTTCTGTCTCATTGATCAATTGTTTATTCATTCACCAATATCACATTAATTGGTTAGTATAGCTTTATAGTAAGTCTTGAAGTCAGGCAATGTCAGTCCTCCAACTTTGTTTTTTTTCTTCAATATTGAGTTAGCTATTTTGGGTCTTTTGCCTCTTCATATAAACTTTAGAATCATTTTGTTGATCCGCACAAAATAATTTGCTTAAATTTTTATTGTCATTGTACTAAATGTATAACAGTTTGGGACAAATAGATGTCTTGACAGTATTGAGTCTTCATATCCATTAACATGAAATACCTCTTTATTAAGTTGTTCTTTGATCTTTCATTTGAACGTTTCTTTTGTATAGAACATGCACATATTTTGTATAGTATTTCATTTTTTGGCTGATAATGTAAATGGTAATGTGTCCTAAATTTCAAATTTCACTTGTTCATTGCTGATATATAGGAAAATGATTGACTTTTGTATATTAACCTTATATTCTGCCACTTTGCTATAATCACTTATTTAGTTCCAGGAGGGTTTCTTTCTTTCTTTCTTTCTTTCTTTCTTTCTTTCTTTCTTTCTTTCTTTCTTTCTTTCTTTCTTTCTTTCTTTCTTTCTTTCTTTCTTTCTTTCTTCCTTTCTTTCTTCCTTTCTTTCTTTCTTCCTTTCTTTTCTTTCTTTCTTTCTTTTTCTCTTTCTTCCTTCCTTCCTTCCTTCCTTCCTTCCTTCCTTCCTTCCTTCCTTCCTTCCTTCCTTTCCTTTCTTCCTTTCCTTTCTTCCTTTCCTTTCTTCCTTTCCTTTCCTCCTTTCTTTCCTCCTTTCTTTCCTTTCTTTCCTCCTTTCTTTCTTCCTTTCTTTCTTCCTTTCTTCCTTTCTTTCTCTTTCTTTCTTCCTTTCTTTCTTTCTCTTTTTCTTTCTTTCTTTCTTTCTTTCTTTCTTTCTTTCTTTCTTTCTTTCTTTCTTTCTTTCTTTCTTTCTTTCTTTCTTTCTTCTTTCCTTCCTTCCTTCCTTCCTTCCTTCCTTCCTTCCTTCCTTCCTTCCTTCCTGCC